TTTTTTTATTTATTTACAATGTTTAGTGAATAATATATCTTTAAATGTATGAAGTATTTAAAAAAGTATTAAAAATAATATATTAAAAATATTTTGTGATTCAAATATTATTGTACTCCTTATTATTTTTATATTTAATTTGTGTATAATTACTCAGTATTTGATCTGAAAAGTCATAGTCGATAGTTCGTTCAATCGAAGAAATATTTAACTAGGATTAAAACATCTCAATATACTAAAATAGGACACTCAATATTTTTATACGTTGTATGTAAATAGATTTATAATTTCAAATAATACCAAAATAAAATGTCAAGAAAGACTGCAATATATCAATGCTCTTATTTAGGAGGCAAACTTTAATATATATATATATATATATATATATATATATATATATATATATATATATATCTACTTAATGATTCTTTTAATTCGTTTTAATACCTACCTAGCCTGTTTATTGTTAGTTTTAAGAACCTAAATCTTATAAATAAGCAATAATTTTAAAATATAAATTATGCCCTAGAAATATCTCATAAATATTTCTAAATAAAAGAATATCTAACTAGTAATTTAAAAATTACTAGTATTTCTACACTTGTGCCTGAAACACACACAATATTTTTAAAAAATAAATAAATAGTGCAAATACTTAATTTATTTCCTAGATGCAAAATATACAATAGTTTAAAATGCAAGGGCTAATATCAAAAAATGAATGAATTATTTAGTGCTGCTCCATATACGTAATTGCAATTCTATATTTGGATAATTCTCGTCGTGTGGTTTTACTGCTTTGTGATGCAATGTGGACTTCTAAGAGTTTGATAGTGAACATTAACTTGTGATGTGAGGTTTAGAATTTTAAATTAAATAATTCTAATAATAGTATAAAATATTCTTTTCATTACGAAATCATTTTTTTCGAGTCGAATTATATAATATTCCCTCAGTTCCTAAAAAATATTACCACAATTTGATTTTTTGGTCAAACTGTGGCACCATTTAGACATGAATTAAATATAGTATAAAATAAATAAATAGTATAAAATTTAAAAATTTAAAACTATATTTTAAAATAAACCTAATTTACTAATAAATTTACTAGTAATTTATTAAATGAGTGAAAACCAACAAAAACAAAAAGTCCAAGGAGTGAAGTACTTATTTTTGTTGTGCTATAATTATGTGCCACATAAATCCAAAAAGTTCACATACTATGTAAAATTCTCTTGACAACGGATAGAGTACAATTTGTCTAATTTTGAATTTCATTACATCAATGGATCCCCACTTTTTAGACTTACCTTTAAGGATAAATTTATATTGTGCTTCATTTGGGATATCATAGCATGACACTTATCTAATTAATGTTTTACATCACTATCTTAAGAAAATGCTTACGGTGTTATATTCAAAAAATTAGAATGAGTTCAGATTGAGTTGAGGTGAGAATTCACTAGAAGCTTAAAAGAAGAAAAACCATCAATTTTTCAAAAAATTGGTTACCAAAGCATTATTTATACGAAGATGCCCATGTGTGTGGGTGTATTTTAATTCTATTTAGTGTCCATTTGATAACAAATTTAATGTTTAGTTTTAGAATTTTGAAAAAATTATCTAACAATGATGTTTAACCTAGAAATTTTTAATAAAATTATTTTAGTTTTTCCCATTCGCCATATCTAGATATTCTACTTTTAGGGCTCAATAATTAGAGACATTAGTTTGCTTTTTGATTTTCTAAGAAACTTGGAATCTAACCAACATGATATATTATCCGTTAACAGAACTCTGGAAAAGAGAATAACTTGCCAAATCTAAATCATAATAAGTTGTTATGTGTACATACTACCACTCTTCTTAATAATACTTTCCCCCATGTCCTAGACAATAAAGAACACATATAGTGCCTTTAAGTGATCAAATATACGAGCACACATAAGCTGTTAAAGGACATGGAAAGAATAAGCTATATCGGGTTGGTCATAGTCATATATATGAAGCGTCCCACAATACATATGTATTGCGCTACAATGTATATATATCGAGCGAGCTAGCTCATGATTTAGCTGAATAGAAGTCTTTGCAGGCTTACACCCTAATAAACTAGTTTTGTGTAAAGTATCTAACGCATTATTGCACTGACACAATACCATACCATCTGCAGTCATGCAAACCCAGTCATTCAAAAATACTTCAAAGACCTGAATCTTTTAGATGACAAAAATTGTCCCGATCCTTTTTCAAAATACAAATACAAAGTAGGGTTATTACCTGCAACTATATTATCATGAACTTAACTCAAGATTACCAAAACATTAGGCCCTCACTTGAACAAAAATAAAGTGTGGTCCTTGCGTGCATGTCTAAAGTCGTACTGCGAAAAGAAGTTGTCAATTTTGCAAACCAGTTGTGGGGTTTCTCTTGCATACCATAAAGAGACTTCAATAGATGACAAACTTTCCCTGAACAAAGACTTGAACAGCCAATGGGCATCTTCACATACACTTCCTCTTGAAGATGACCGTGAAGAAAGGCGTTATTAACATGAAGTTAATGAACCTTTAAAATGATGTAACTTATTCTTCGATGTGATTTCTTACAATGAGAGCCAAGAAACCATGGCACCTGGAATTTAATTTATCATAAGTTACAAAGTTAGTGACATGAAACCATGTTCCTAAACATCATGACAAGTCCAAGGAGCTAACAACATAGTTTACGGACTAAGGAGGCGACATATATAATAGGATATGTATCGAGGAGGATGACGAGTACGCTAGACACGATGATCAGTGGATGCATCGACCGGGATAGTAATGAGCAGAAAAGGGTGCGGTGGTAGAAGCTAGATTGGCTGCTGGGTAGCACCTGTCGTGGTAGGGTCAGACTCCATCGATGGGCCAAAGGCGATGGCTAAATAGTGAAATCAGTGTGATGTGGTTTTTGAGGTAAGTTTGGAGATTGTGGTGTGACAATAAATAGAAAAAAATAGATTTTTCAAATGAGATATCTCTGGCATGAAGCAAACAATGCGGCTAAAATCGTTCGCCTGCCTCTTTTTTGTACTGGTAAGGTATCAAAGAAATATACATTATAGGCTCATGCATGGGGGCAAATTTATTTGGTACATGCAATGTTGTATACGATGAACAAAACATTAACATCCAAACACACGATGATGACTGATATCTGTCACAAGGTGACATACCCCCAAAGACTTTAGTAAGAGTACGATTGAAAGATACACATCCATATGAACACACCCTCTGCAAAACTCGACACTCGACAGACAAAAACTCTTGAAACATCAAAGAATTAGCGACATTGAGGATATGATGATGTTTTCTCTTAACATGTCCATTTTATTATCGGGTACCTACACATGAATTTTGAATAGAAACACCTAATCAATCAAGATAAAATTGGCGTAAAGGGTGATTTAAAAATTCAGTGCCTCTATTTGAACGCACATCTTTTATCATTTTATGAAATTGGGTGTAAATGAGAGCGAAAAATCATTTTTAAGGCTGGCCACTTGACTTTTATCAATTATAAGGTACACCCAAACAACCCTAGAATGACCATAAGTAATGGTTAAGAATTACTGTGCACTAATAAACAATCAAGGAGAATAAGGATCCTACATATCGCAATGTATTAAATCAAATAGTGCTTTCGCTTTATTCATTTATTGATACTAGATCAAAAAATATAACAAGTGTGTTTGAAACATATAGTAAAACTCTTTTGGCTTTTTATTATTCGAGCCAAGAATATATACAACTTTTGACATTGGTATTTAATTCTAATGTTTTTAAAATCAGCATAGTTCCATTGACAATAAATGTTAGTGTCAACGGATGACACTTGCTCATTTGGAGTTTCTCTGCTTCAAATGAAAAATTGATGATTCCTACCTTTCTTAACCTCCTTCCTAAATCCCCACCGCAACCCCACCCCAACCGATTCTGCGCCCCAACTTTAGACCACCCTCTCTTACTCCCTCCAAATGTATGATTATATGCAATGAGGGTGGTATAAAATTGGGGTGCATGGATTGGGCTTGAATGAGGTGCAGTGAAAGTTTAAAAGATAAGAACTACTCGGTGTATCAATTTTTCATTTGAAACAACAAAGTAGTGAATGTCATACGTTTCTTTTAAAATTAATGAAAAGTGGTCAGAATAAGTGTAGGGAGTATTTATTTTCAACTTTGACGGCTGAATATTGTTTTTCTGAAGTGGGATCATTAATTTTTTACTGAGTTTATTAAAAGCACCGCCACAAAGAAAAAGTAACTAGAGTTTCTATTTCTAGTCTTTGTTACACTTGAGTATTTTCAAGCTTAATTCTCACAAATTATCCTCTCTTACTACTTTTTCCATTTCAAATCAACCTTTTTACGGAGTATTTTTTTATCTTTCACTTTTTCTACCCATTAAAAAATGAAATCTTTGGTAAAAGTTAGTATGCAGAAACAAAAATAATGTCTATCACTCATTTCTTTTTATTAAGTAGAATAAAAATCTCTTTTGGAGACACAACTTAAAAATAAAAATGTTATTAATTTATTTATAGGAGTGAGAAAGATTTTGAAATGTCAAATATGCTATTTTAACAGAATGAAAAATTTTATTTTGAAATAAAAAAATAAAAACTTGAAATTTATTTTGGGCGAAAACACTGGAAGTACTCAGTAACAATTCGTCTTTTCATTTTTCCGTATACCTTAGTGTTTTTCTTTAGTTTTTTATTAACCGACCATTATGGCTTTTGAAGTTTTTTAAAAATTTAATGAACTTTGATGTATATTCAATTTATATTCATTCATATTTTGGTGTTCAATAGAAATATTCAAAAATAATTACGGAATTAAAAAATTACGGAATTTAAAAAAAATATTTAAGAATTTAAGCTCCATTTTCATTGTCTATTTTTTTAATAAAGAAAATGGAAAAGTGCGAAATTTGTTTCATCCCTGTTAACTATAGTGTGAGTGGGGGGTGTACGAGAAGCATGTGAGGTGTTCCTCACAATCCTGTCATTCTGCTTCTTCATTCTTGACTCATTGAGAGGAGCTTTCTGGGGACTCTTGAAATTTTCTTGAATCTTTTGAGCTTTTTTCTGGGTAACTCTATTATTATTATTATTGTTATTATTTTCTCTTTTTGCATTTATCTTGAATCCCTCTATTTGGCTTTCTGGGTACTCTAAACTGTGTGTGTTTTCTCTTCTTTGATTTATCCCAAGTCCAAATCCATCTCCCCTATTGGGTTTCTGAGATTTGTTTTCTTCTTCTTGTTCTTCTTCCTGTCTGATCTGGTTTATGCAGATTTGGGTTTCAATCTGGGCATACTTTTCTTGTTTCCTACTCTGGGATTTACCCTTATTTACCATTTCAGAGAGGAGAAGAAGAGAGTAAAAGTAAAGGATGGCAGGAGGTGGAGGAGCAGCTCCAGCACAAAAATCAGATGAACCAACTCCTCATCCAGTAAAGGATCAACTGCCCAATGTTTCTTACTGCATTACCAGCCCTCCACCATGGCGTGAGTCTTCTTTAATCTTCAGCAGTTCAATCCCTTGATTTTCTTGATTTAGGGTTTTGTCTAGTGCTACCTGCACTCAGCTAAGACTTGTTTCTTGTAAGACGATATGAAATCTGTCATTTCATGACAATCTTCTTTCATTTTTTGAAGTTCTTCACCATAACTTGCCATGTTTATCTGCTGAATGGGTTTTTTTTGTATTAAATCTGTGTTGGTATCTGCTTGTGCTTTACTTTTCTGGGAAAAGAGTTGAACTATTTGGTCTTCTTACTGCTGGATTCATGGGGTTGGTATGTGTTTTTTTTTGCTATAGGAATGTGTGGATCATTTGTGCTCATGTGTCTTACACTACTCATTTGTGCCTATACATCTATCTTCTAACGCTAAATTTGACCCCTCACTTCTCACTATTCAACATCTTTCACACTTTTCTGAATCTACCTGTAATTAAAGTGAGCTAATTAATTTGACCATTCACTGCTAAGGTAGTTAGGCATACTTCTTTAGATTTTTCTAATGTGGTTATTATTGTAATGATGCTGCAGCTGAAGCCATTATTCTTGGATTTCAACATTATCTTGTGATGCTTGGGACTACAGTTATGATTCCCACCATTCTGGTTCCCCAAATGGGAGGTGGAAATGTGAGTCACAATGCTTCTGTTTCTTTCAAAGTGATTAAAGGCTCATTTTGGCACCCTATAACTACCTATTCTATTGCCTATGCATGTGTGTGCAATGGGTATATTGAGACCAGCCCAGATTTGTATTGCGGTTTAGGCCCAACACGCCCAGCCCATTCCATGATATATATTGTATTTAGGCCCAGACCACGGATTGCCGCACAATCAGTAAGGGATTCGAGCCACTTGAAATGGGTACCCAGGGGTGAGGGTCCCTAGAGAATGTGTCTAACTATCACTATTGAAGTTAATGGTTCATTTGTGTTGGTGGTTGCAGGAGGAGAAAGCCAAAGTTGTTCAGACATTGCTATTTGTTGCTGGAATCAACACCTTATTACAAACGTTCTTTGGGACGAGGTTGCCAGCTGTGATTGGAGGGTCATACACCTTTGTTGCACCAACTATTTCTATCATACTCTCTGGTCGATGGGATGACCCGGACCCCACATCGGTTTGTTTTGTTTTGTTGTCTTAGACGCTTCTTTTGCATCACATCTGTCAATCTGTGGGATATAATATCAATGGTGGTGTATGGCATATGCAAAAATGAAATGAAAAGAATAAAAAAAAGAATCAGGTTGCAAACTGTTAAGTTGTGCGCAATGTTGGGTATTGAATTATTGATTCAAAAGTATTAGGGAAGGGAGGTCATAAGTACAAAGGCTCTGTTTGACTAATTCAGGTTGGTTTTGTTCAGTTCTGTTTGATTCCGGGTTTAATTTGTTTCTCTACATTATTTTTTGTTTGGTTCAGTTATGGTTCAGTTCAAATACGGTTTTGGTACAGAACGGTTCAGATAGATATCAATTTCGATAGATACACAATTACACATTCTATGTTCTAACAACTCACTTCACATTTTATGATTCAGTTATGATTTGGTTTGGGTCTAATCGGTTTCGGATCTAATTCGGGTTTGACTCAATATATTTTGGTTCTGGTTTGGTTCGGGACATCTCGGATTTTGGGTATAGATTGGGTATTCATTTTTTTTGGGTCATTTCAGGTTTGATTTCAGGTTATTCGGTTTGGGTAATCAATTCTGGATCCATTTTGCCAGATCTATGAATAATTACCTTTTTTACTTAGAGCCTCTTTTGGATAGCTGATGGTAAAAGTACATAATTTCTTACGTGCTTTCTCTTTTAAGCACTTAAGGTGCTTGGTAAGAGAAAAAAATAAATATCAGGTTTCCTAAATAAGAATTGATTTATTTAAAGACCTTTTAAAGCACTTTCTCATTTTTTCCCTTCCAAATGTCTTTTTGAAGTAAAATTACTTTTCATTTTATAAAAACACTTGCCTTGAAGATAAGTCATCCCAAATGCTCACTCACTTATCTGGCTGAAATGAATGTTTCCAAATGCTAGTCCTTTCAGAAACTTGAGCAGCCAAATGACCCTTACCAAATGGGCTCTATATACTAAACTCATTCTGATAATTTCCTCCATTAGATTGTTCTTTGAAAATCACGGAATCACATCAAGAAAAGGAAAAAAATGAATGCCATAAATTTGCATGTAGCCTGTGATACATATTTTTCTGTACTTGATTCTTTTGCTTCACTCATTCTCATCAGAGATTCAAAAAGATAATGCGGGCCACCCAAGGTGCATTTATTATTGCTTCAACCCTTCAGATAGCCCTCGGATTTAGTGGTCTTTGGCGCAATATTACAAGGTTGGTTAACCTTAATCGTGTGTGCATTTTGAGCTTGATATTCCATACATTGTTCAATAATGAAGTAATTTCCTTTATGTTAACAAATCTACTTCTTCCTTCGGGGCATTACTAGGTTCTTGAGTCCGCTCTCAACAGTTCCTTTGGTTGCACTTGCTGGTTTTGGACTCTACGAGTTTGGTTTCCCCGGTGTAAGTATATGTGTGTTGTGTGTAAACTAATTCAAACAAATCTGATAGAATTCAGGATGGGGATGGGGTTACTGGATTAGGCCATAAGACACTTGGGTTGAACCGCATTAAAAGATTAAATCAAATCGATTAACCAGTTCAACTCAAGAGCTTATAATAAACCTGTTATGTTCTTCTCAATTTTCCGGTGTGGGATAAACTCTAACAAAATCCTTCATTTTGAGCCCAATTATGCCCTTCTCAATTATGATTCATTTAACCAATTAATGTTGTTGTATAGGTTGCTAAATGTGTTGAAATAGGGTTGCCAGAGCTTGTGATTTTGGTCATTTGCTCCCAGGTATTTTTGGAAGCGATCACGGGCGTGGTTTATTAATTGAGAGTAATGCTTTTTAATCTAGAAAAAGAAACTAATTTGTCGTACGTTGCAGTATTTGGCTGTTGTGATAAAGTCTTGGAAGAATATTGTTGATCGCTTTGCTGTTATATTTTCGGTGGCGCTTGTATGGGTTTTTGCACATGTACTCACTGTTGGTGGGGCCTATAATGGGAAACCACCAAAAACTCAAATGAGCTGCCGAACTGACCGTGCTGGACTTATATCTGCTGCCCCATGGTAAGTAGTGCAAACAATGTGCTAATATGCAATGCAAATTTTGTGTAATTAATGAATAAAAATTCATCCAATTTGATTTTAAAAAAGTCAAACTGGACAAATACTCATCGAGATGGATGAAGTATTGCATTCACGTGGGATATAATTGTTTTCTTTTTTTTTTGAAAATAGGATTAGAGTTCCATACCCTTTTCAATGGGGAACACCTTCATTTGATGCGGGCGAAGCATTTGCTATGATGATGGCTACTTTTGTAGCTCTTGTTGAGGTATGTTTTCAAACACGCTCCGGTCTCACACATTAAAAAAACAGGAAAATTGGATCAAAACACTATGAAGTATGAGCATTGGACAAAATACAACCAACCATCAAATTTTTTTTCTAAATTCTCATACTTGGTAAGGTTTGGTCAAACTTCCCCAAAAACAATTCCTTGATAAATTTTTTTTGGTTATGATTGTCTTTCTTCTTTTCTTATTTGCACGGTTTGCCTATATTTTTACTAAATATACATTGCCTTTGCAGTCGACTGGTGGTTTTATTGCTGTTGCAAGGTTTGCTAGTGCAACTCACACCCCACCTTCCATTCTCAGCCGTGGTGTGGGTTGGCAGGTAAGAACTGAACTCCTCTTGAACCTCTTGACCAAACTCAAATCTTATTGCATTTGAAGCAATTCTTTTCGTTTTTCTTCAACATTTTCGAAATCTTTGGTGCAAAGTTTTGAAATTTTGGTCACGCGTTACAGGGAATTGGCATTTTGTTATCTGGGTTGTTTGGAACTGGTGCTGGCTCTTCTGTATCTATGTAAGTTAGTTACACTCCATGGTAAAATCTACTGTCACTCACAAACCATTGCTACAAGAGATCTTAATTTCATTTTTCCAGTGAGAATGCTGGCCTTCTAGCACTTACCCGTGTCGGCAGCCGAAGAGTGGTTCAGATATCTGCCGGATTCATGATTTTCTTTTCTATCCTTGGTAAAAATAAATGCTTTTAATTGAATTTGATTATTTTTACGATCAGTTTTTCTTTCACTACACGTAAATAAATCCTGATTTTGGTAATCAGGAAAATTTGGAGCGGTCTTTGCTTCAATTCCAGCACCCATTGTGGCAGCTCTATATTGCTTGTTCTTCGCGTACGTAGGTATGTGGATATATATATAAAGATCTGTCACTTTACCTAAAATGCCCTCATTAAGGTCATCTTCCCATTTACATTATGCTCTGTAGTATATATATGAAGGATTTATATAAATGGTGGATAAGAGGGAGTGTTGTTTATGTTCTTGTGATTGACATCAGGTGCTGGGGGCATAAGTTTGCTTCAATTCTGCAATCTGAACAGTTTCCGGACAAAGTTCATACTCGGCTTCTCAATCTTTCTTGGATTTTCCATCCCTCAGTACTTCAACGAGCACATCGCCATCAAGGGCTATGGACCCGTCCACACCAGGGGCCGATGGGTACGTTCCTATGAAAGTTGCTCCCTTCGTCCTAAAATTTATCTTCCCAATTTGACCTTAAGAAAGTGGAATTGTGTTGGCCGTGGTTTATTTAAAGATATAGAGAAAGGGTATCGATCACATAAAAATATTTCGCGAAACAGAAAATGGGTGAAGAATTATTTTGCACCCATTGCCAAGCTAAGTGAATCATGCTATAATGCTTCCAAGTTTGACACCACGGATGACAACCATTTGTGGAACAAATCCACAAACGGTTGTCATCTACGGCGTCAAACTTGGGAACATAGAACCTTTTTCGATAGTAAATACAGCAACGCATCAATGGTTTGACGTAAAGAGTGAACTTGTTTACAATTGCGCACATCTTTTGGATTGTTTAGTCTCCCACTCTTTTGACCATTTTTTGTTGTTTGGATCAGTTCAATGACATGGTCAATGTTCCATTCATGTCGAAAGCGTTTGTGGCGGGGATCATCGCGTATTTCTTGGACAACACATTGGGGAAGAAGGAAAGTGCGGTGAGGAAAGACCGAGGCAAGCATTGGTGGGACAAGTTCAAGTCTTTCAAGACCGACTCGAGAAGCGAAGAGTTCTATTCCCTCCCTTTCAACCTCAACAAATACTTCCCGTCCGTGTGAGCTTCATAGCCATCTTCATTTGCTCTATCGTCTACCCACCCCCACCCCCACCCCCACCCACCCGCCTTGGTGCGGAAAAAGTAGTAGATTATAAATAGTGGGGTTATGCTACGGTCACACCACGGATGACACCAAGGGTGATACCGTCATTGTCTCTCACGGATGGTCCGTGCGAGATTGTCTCTGGTGGTGTCAACCTTGGTGTCATCTTTGGGGTAATGCAGCATTGCCCCAAATAGTAAGCATGACATGGGCAGTTCTTAATTAGAAACATTTGTCAAGACTTGTCGGTATTCTCTGGTGTAAATTTGTCGTTTATGGTCAACTGCATTTCTACTTGCTTATGATCGGTTTTTAACGGTACATTTTTTGTAATCATTATGACAAGATCCAATTCTCATCATATAAGCAAAGCATATATAATCATTGATGGGTTGTGCTAGGTGTACACCAAACCAGTTTGGTATACACCACAAGTGTGTTGCAGACATATAGACAAACATATACAGATAATAATTATCCATGTGACACACCCGCCCCCGTCCACCCCCACCCATTCCATATCCCTCACCCCATTGTTGTACCCTATCCGAAATTGGAACCGAATCGTTCGGGGTAAGATTCTAATAACGATCCCTCATTTTGTGGTGGTTTCGAATTCCATTCTATTTCCATTTTTTGTTTTTAGGTTAATTGAAACTATTTAAGGTTGATTTGCTACAATATTTACAACATATGATAGAGAAAAATACATAATAATTTTCCAAAGAGAAAACGAGGACCCGATCTCGAACCGGTTAGCAATCAAAACCATTTCGTCGCAACCCGTTTTTGCTTAGTGTCATGCCATTCGAGAACTGAAATTGCCGGTTTTGAAACTGAACCGGCATTGTATCCAAGTCTTAACATCTTTTGGGAAACCAATATATTCATGTGGAAAAAAAATGCACCACACCATCAAAAAGAAATGACCATTTTTTAAGTTTGACAAGAATACACAACAAATATGCAGTATATGTATTTAGCATTCCTCTATATAATAAAACACACAAATTTGAGAGTTTAGCAGCAAAACAAAACAAAACAAGAAGATCATCTACTATCTCAAAAAGCTCCAATAAAAGAAATAAAAACATCCAAATGACTTGAAAAATTTCATGCGGTTTTTGGGTCGGTTTCGGGCTTGGGTTTTTCGGGCAGGTCGAGTTGGCTGAAGTTGCCCTTTTGCTTGAAGAGCTGGGTGTGGTGGTGCCTGCAGTAGAGCCTCTGCTCATGTGCAACATAGTTTGATGGGCTGATCACACACCCTCCATGGCTGCACTTGAAGCAGTTCCTATGGTACGACGCCCCATCCACTCCGACCTTCAAAAAAAACACACACATACGTTTTCCACCGATTATCATCTTTCAAGTTAGAATGTAAAACCTTTCCCGAGCTTAAATTGACAGAATATACCCTCGAAGTATAATATCACAAATTTTAAAGACCCCAGAGCACGTTTCGGATAATGTCAGTGGGTCCTGAGAGTTTTTTTACCAGAAAATTGACGGTACTCCAGAGTATATTTCATATAATGTGGGACTTAAGAGTTATTACCAGAGAATCGTGGGTACCTCGAAGTAATTTTTGATATTTTATATCTCTTTCAACGGCCAATCACCCCCCCACCCCCCGTCATTAACAACCGTCACTTTATTTTTACACGAAGAGGTTTGTTTCAGATTTAAGAACCCGTTTCATTTCTTACTCCCTCCGTCCCATTTTATAACACCTGTTTTGGTTTACGATGTTTGACTGAAATTATTTTCAAATCATTTTATATCACAAATGGTATATAGTTAAAAAATAAAAAATATATATTAAAATACTACATCAAAAGATCTACAAAACTAGTAGTGACAATAGTACTTTATTTTATCAAATTACTAACGAAAATTGAGAAAGAAAGTGAATGAAATTTGACCCTGTAAATAGTGAAGTTGCATTATAATTTGGGACGAAGGGAGTATAAAATTTCAGAACTCGTATCATATCATATCAGCGGGAGAAGAATTTGCAAGAGAGGGGAAGGAATATGATACCTTTTCAAGGGGGTAGACAGTTTTGTTGCAAGAAACACATTTGTCTTGAGTTCCACCAAACAGTCTTGACACTTTGTTGCTTGTCTTTGTCACTTCGCTTGTTCTTTCCTTCCCATTCTTCGGAGCCCCTGAGGTTAAGCACAATTAACAACAGGTTAGGAATTAATTACGATGTCTAATCTAAATTCTAAATTAGTTTTTTTGATCAATTATTTGAAAACAAAATATTCTGTAAATGTTATGTTTTCTCTGTCCGGATTTAGGTTGTGTTCTGTTCGCATGATCTCATCTGATCAGATCTTCTGAAGATCTGATCTGAATGCAGTTATAATTAAAGTTGTTTCTGATATGGTCTAATCTAATTATAATAAGAATAAGTAATAAGCAGAAAAAATAAGTTGAATGGTTAGCTGCCTTCAGTGGCGGACCCAAGAATTTCGGGGAGTGGGTTCACATTTTGTGCACAAAAAAAATGTTGATATTTGTATAACAATAAATTTAAAATCTTAAAGGTAAAAAAAGTATCAATAAATAGCATTCTGAGATTAATATTGTGAATTATTTGCAATATTTTTGAAATACTATATAAAAAATATATTACGCTCATTGTTTTAACCAAAAAAAAAAATTAAAGAACTAAAGTAGTAATTCTAGACATTTCTTCAAATACTAAGTATATCTTAGGAATCTTTTTAAAACAATTAAACTTGTTCATACATTTCAAAAAAAAATTGAACATTTTATAATTAAGTTTCATAATGAAAGGTAAATCAATTTTCCAAATCTAAAAGAATTAAAACATAAAATTCTACACAAGTATAGAATGTGTCCTCTCTTTCATTTTCAAAAAATAGAACCTAATCACATATAAATATACTCTCCTTGGATGCCCTTAGTCTACATATAATATCCAATTATATACTACTACTAATAAAAAAAATTTTTTGGAGTGGGTGCAAGTGACCCCACTGCAACCACCCTAGGTCCGCCCCTGGCTGCCTTAATTGTCTATTTTCTAAAAAATCTCACTTCTTAAGAAAAAAGTTTTTAAATATTAGAGTAAATTCCATTAACAATCCCTAATTACGGGTGTTTTTTCATATTTAGTCTCCAATTATAAGATATTACATAAATTGTTCTCAATTTTTGAAAACTATTCTATTAATAGTCTATTAGGCCAAATATGACAAAAAAAATTTCACAAATTACCCCCCAAGGACTGATTAGAGCCTATTTACTCTTGAGTAGGGGCAAGGTCTACGTATATACGTCTTCTCCAGACCCTACTCTCGTGATTTCAAACTAGGTTGTTGTTTTGTTCCAAGACCCAATTACAGAATATTTTTCAAAAATTGAGGACCGTTTGTAATATATTTCATAATTGTTGACTAAATATGAAAAATCGCGACGATTCAGGAAATTTTACTCTGAGTATTATTTTAAAACATTACCTTCAAAGCTCTTGTCCAAACTGCCAGTCAATTTGAAGAGCTGGTCAAAGTGAGGTTTGCAGTATAAGACTCCCTCAAATGAGCTGTAATTGCTCAGCTGCACCATTCCACAAACCAAATCATACCCACATTATATATCCCCAAATAATTTGACTCAAACAAATTTAAACCCAAAATTATTCCATCTTAATTTTTATAATGTTTTTTTCTCCAAATCATGTTAAACACTATCAAGTATGAACAATTGGACAACACACTAAAAATATTGCAAATTTGCTAGAAATTTGACAACATTTTCACATTTGTGGTAGACAAAAAATAATTGTACGTGCCTACACAACAATTGTTATCTGTGTGTTTGTCTACGAGAAATCTAATTAATTTTTGGTGTGACATTTTTTGATGTCTCACTTTTCAGATGTCATCACATAACACAAAGGTTTCAAAATTTTACTCTATTAATATGAGAAACCAAACTACAAAACTAGTAGTATTTGAAGAACAAGTTTTCAACCACAAGTAAAAACAATATATGTGTGTGTGTGTGTGTATGTGTGTGTGTGTGTATAAAATGAAAAAAAGGGAATAATAATTTTAAATATATAAAAAAAAGAACCTTAAGGGTGCCCTTGCAATGGTTACATCTGAAACAGGCCTTGTGATAAACTTTACTGTCAACACTGAGCTGATCCACCAAGTAAACAGTCTTCTCACAAGCCTTACACTTCTGTGTTGTCCCTCCAAAAGCTGCCATTAATCTCCCCTTCAAAAACTGATCAAACAATAATTTAATTTAATTAATTTCAATTAATTAAATTAAATTAGATCTTGAAAATAATCTCTCCCTCTTTTTCTCTCTCTCTTTTGAATTTCAGTTTCTTTCTCTTGTAAAGTTTGAGCCTTTTTTTATATGACAGCAAAAGGGTGCTGTGTGTGAAGAAGGTGCATTTGTTAGCTGTCCTCTAGAGGGGCTGTTTGGGTCAAACTTTTAATTCTTGATTATGTGGACTTGAGGAAAAAAGAAAGAAAGAAAAAAAACATTGTGAGTTGTAAGATGGGAATTAGATGAATTTTGTGGTAGCTACTAGAGAAGATGTGTCTCTACTCTCAACCTTTGAGGTCAATTTTTTCACAATTTTGGTAATGTGAATAAGGAAAACATTTGTTTGATTCTTTTTTTAAATTGATTTTTATCTCAAAATCAATAGAGCGCCGTGTTTGATTTAGATTCTGCTTTTGGTTCCAGAATATTCTTTTTCGTTTTAAAAAATATTATCACAGTGATCAATGAACAAAAAAAGAACAGTAGAACATAATTTTCTCATTTGGTTAAAGAGTAAAATACGAAAAAAAATCTAAAATAAAAAAAACAAAGCAAATTTCCTTCCGATTTGGTGAGGAAAAAGGAAGTGGCAAAAATGAAAAACATATACTAAGATAGTAAGAAGGGCAAGATTTCATTACATTGGTTTCAATGTCATCTGATTACAATTTCCTCAATTGAGATACCTACAATACTCAATTCATAAGTTGATAGTTTCTATCCTATTTAATTTTTCTGTAAATTCCTCTCTCCGACTTGAACCCCTCACTCATCCTCTTCGTTACATTCCAAATTTAGTTAACTTTTAGATCAATTTGTTTAACCCAAAAATCAACTATATATAATTAGAGCGGGTGGAGGTGGATTGAGGTAGAAGGGAGTATATTTTTCACATGTACGAATTGTTTGGTATTATTCTAAAATTAGCTCATTTTAAAACAACTGTTTTTGACAACATATCTTACTCTATACAAAGCAAAAAGAAGCTGAACCCAATATAAAAAACCCTAATCGACAACACAGCCTCACTTCGTGGCTATAAATACATCAAAAAACAATGAAAAAATAAATTAGATTTTCAACCAATTACAATCTTCCAATACTATATCCTGTAGCTTTTCCTTCATCCAAATCAATGGCAGCTCCAAGTGACTAGTGCTTCCTCAGAAATGTAAACACCAAGACAAAACAATGTGCAATTAAAGTTCGTGTGGTTCGAGCATACCGATGTCCTCCACATGCTTCTCGCAGAGAAACTTTAGAGATTCTTTTTGACCAGCAGGTTTTTTTAGATTTTCAGTTCAATATATTTAAATGTTTGTATGAACATATATATAAATATTAAAGTTTATTTTAACAGATACATATATAAATATTACTCTAAATACATATATAAATATAAATATATACATATATACACACACACACATATATATATATATACGTGATTATTCAAAGAGCAAAATATAAAAACTATAAATGTAAATATAAATAAATATAGTTATATATATACACCTAAATATACGAAATATAAATAAGTGTAGACATACATATATGTATATATTACTCTAAATGTATATATAAATAAATATATAATATATATTAATATATATATATATTATATATATATACGTGAATATTCAAAACGCCATGGCTGCTTCAACGGTGCTGCATCCCGTAGCGCCACGCCAGGATACGTTGAATTCTTTGTAACCTCAAAACGCCAGTTATACCCTGAAAATAACAACATATCAATCACTGTACCAGAATTGGCGCATGCTCTATAAAACAGCCTGAGGACATTTTTAAAAGTTCACAGTTCATGAAGAACTTGCATTACTACTATGTTCACACACCCACCCACACAGTCGTATTATTGAAAACAAACTTCAAGTTCATTTTATAATACTAAACATATACATATATCAGGGAACACTGTATGCATGCGCAGATTCCACAATATCTTATTTCAAAATATGACCCACTGTTGAGAGAAGAGAGAGTTTACAAAATACGTGACTTCACTGTGGAGGCAAATTTTCAACCCTTGAAAACGGCTGATCATCCATTTATCATGAAATTCATTTCGTGTACCAAGGCTGACAAAATTCACTCCATCGGTTTCCCATGCATCATGTATGATCTTAAGAACTTCCAGGCTATCAAAACTAGCGAAAAACAGTTTGAAAGGCAGCTTATAGGCAAGTCATATATACCCTCTTTTATTGTTCAAATTTTATATAATGTGAAATTAAAAGTATGTAATGTAATATAAATGCATTGCATTTTTTTGGCTACCTTATGAGTACTTTATTGTAGATGCCATTGGACGAGTAGTGGCCTGTTCAGAACAAAAAATGAGAATTGTTAATGGGGAGGTGAAAAACGTCATGGATATTACTCTAGAAGACAACGAGTACGAGAGTTCAAATATTCATTATTCTTACGAAATAGCTTTTTGTGATAGACTGACAATTTGCATCTAAATGACAGGGGTTTCCAACTCCGATGCACATTATGGGGAGAATATGTGGCGCAGATGGTGGATCAAGTTGGATTGGGTTTGAATGAACCATTAATTGTACTTATTCAATTGTGCAGGGTCAAGCCATATCTAGGTATGGACTGTGTATTACAAACATCTTACTTAATGTTACCAGTAAAATATGGTTGAAAACTCATCATCTAATACTATTGTATACTCCCAGGTGAGATGTGCATTTCAACGGCATTTCACGCAACAAGGTTGATTTTTGACAATGAAAATGCTTCCATTCGAGATTTTAAAAACATGTGTAAAGAAGATGAGTCTACATAAAAAACAGCATATCACTTATAAGTGTAATTGTATATAAGAACCAAAACTCTTTATATTTGCACTATATTATAATTACTTTGTAGGATGAAGACATCAACTGGCAGTATAACTTTGAGCTGTGGGAATTCTCAAAGCCAGTCAGAGAGCAGCATGTCTCAGGAAATACAAAGTGGCAGATTGGAAGTATTAAGCATTGAGGAATTACTTTCAAGAAATGAAGTAAGATTATATACAAACAGTTTGGATAATATTGTTATCTTGCAATCGAAAAAGAACAATACATTGGAATGACAAGCATTGTAGAATGAATACTTATCAAAAAAAATGTATATACATATAACAGGCAGGGCATTACTGGATTTTGGCTACGATTGTGGATATCAAAAATTACAAGAATTGGTTTTACTTGGGCTGTGCATCATGCAACAAAAAGGTGAATAAAGAGGAATCGCGATTTCGTTGTTCTGGGTGTAACAAGATAACAGCAGAAGGAAACTACAGGTTTGGGTGATTCTTAAATTTTTAGTATCTCTGACCTTAAAACAAAGCAACATATTATAGTGAGTTGATCCATACTTATAGGTATATGATCAATGTGTTGGTTATGGACTCTACCGACTACACCACCATAACACTTTGGGATAGAGAATGCACCGACTTGCTAGGAAGGTCGACAAGTGGAATGAGAGACCTCATGGCTGAGGTATAGATACCTAAACATATTTTGTATAAATATTTTGTATATACTGTAAGCATTAAACTTGAAGAACATTAAAAACATTGAATTTTTTTACAGCGTACGGGAAACGCAGATTCCTTCCCATTGCCAGAAATTGAGAGTTTGATCCAGAGAAAGGGTCTTTTCCGAGTAAGTGTAAAACCGAAAGTCAGAAGATTTTTTTCTCGAGGCTAAGTCATTTGTTGTTACGGCAATGATTTCTGACCCCAACATATGGAAGTTGTACGATACCCACGATGGGGAGGACATGAAATTAGGTTTTTGGGATGAAGAAGTTATTGTTGAAGATGAAGAGGTATAATAAAACAACCGATTGATTGTATCTAAAACATAAGTGTGTTTGTGTGTGTGTGTATTAACGTAGTTTGTTTTTCATTTCAGGTCAAAATTTCCGATGAGATACCCTCGGCGAGCAGCTGTCTTGGTGGAAAACGCAAGCATGAGATTTATAAGGAAGCCGATGACCCTACTAAGAGGCATCTAGATGAGGAATTTGGCGCCACAAAAGAGCTCCTTAAAATGAAGGCCATTAAAACTGAGAAATAGAGAATGGGTCAAATTTTATCAATTTGAACATGCTTTAATTTATATTCGCGTAATCTTTGTGGTGTTTTGTTTGAGACTCATATGTTTTTCAGACTTTTGAATGTTTTTGTTTTTTCCAATTAAATGGTGTTGTGTGGTCTTTCCATGTTAAGATTGAAAAATGGATTTATGATTATATTTTATTAATTCAGTGTTTACGGTGAATATCTCTCTATACATATAATTGGGATATTCTCCATGCATGATTTGTTTCATAGAATATATTGAAGTTTCAGTTGAAAATATCATTTTGGAAACGGAAGTTTCAGTTGAAAAATTTATTTACAAAAAATACCTAAATGCTTTTATTGAAAAATAAAATTAAAACGAATACCAAAATGCTTTTTTTTTGGAAACTGATATCTTATCAAATAAAAATTAGAATAAAAATCCATATACGGAGAACCGAGCACACAAACAGTAGCCCCTTAGATAGAGATCATATTTCAATGGGTGAAATCAGAACTTCATTTGAAAAATCTCTTACTTAAAAAGAAGTTACCTGAGAAATAAAATCCAGAATTCTGATCGGAAAATGAACAAAAAAGTTAAAAAAAAATGGGCTATATACAGTAGAGACCCTCTATACGAAAAAAACACAGTTTACAAGGGGATGTTTTTGAAGCAAAAAATGAATTTAGAAGGGTCTAAATTCTGGAACTCAGTTTTAAATATTAAGATAAAACGTAGAGTATTCCATGGGATATTCTCCATGCATGATGCGTTTCATAGAATACAATTGAATCACCATGTAAACACGAGTCACGTAGACGGAAGTTTCATGTTGAAATATTTATTTTAAAAAAATACCTAAATGATTTCATTGAAAAATAAATTTAAAACGAATACCAAAATGCTTTTTTTGGAAACTGATATTTTTTAAATAAAAATTAGAATAAAGATCCATATGTGGAGAAACCAACACACAAACATCAGCCTAAGAGAGAGATCTTATTTCGATGGGTGAAATCAGAATTTCATTTGAAAAATCTCTTAAAAAGAAGTTATCTGAGAAATAAAATCCAAAATTCACTTTTGAAAATGGACAAAAAGTTTAAAAATAAATGGGCTATTTACAGTATAGACCCTCTATACGAAAAAAACACAGTTTAGAAGGGGATGTTTTTAAAGCAGAATAAGAATTTAGAGGGGAGCAAATTCTGGAACTCAGTTTTAAAAATTAGGATAAAACGTGTAATATTCCAAGGGAACACATAAAAAAAATTAGGACAATTATATTAAGGTTCATTAAGAGATTTGTATATAGTAAGATTGTGCAGGATTTGATTAACAGAACCTCTCTGTTAGCAGAACAAGTCTGTGTCGTATATTAATATATACATTATATATATATATATATATACACACACACACACACATACACACACATGTTTTGGTCATAAACTTACTTTTTAGGGTATGTTTTTTATCTAATTTTTAAATTCTGCCAATTATCTATTATAAAGTGCCATATAAAAAATGCCAAATGAAGACACACACAGTCCGGCCATTAAATAATGAATAATCTGTTTTTAAATTTTATCTCAAGAAAAAATCTAATGAGATAATATAATTTATAAGATCCTATGTACAAAACACAAGAATATTGTCTCTTAATAATTTAATAAAACAACAGCTGAGTTCCATTTACAAAAATCCATGGGAACACACACATGGGATGCTACGTAATAATAGCCTCTTTGTATTATACATTTTTATATCATTTATATCATACCATAAACACATAATAGTTTATTTATATATATGTGTGCACATATACATTTAAATATATATCTTTGTGTGTGTGTGTGTGTGTATATATATATATATATGTATGTATGTATACATACATTTGAGAGTATATATACACAAGCACTTTGCAGATTAAAAGTTGTGATGAAGTTAGTCTGCAAGTCTCATGTATGTAAAAAAACTTATATTCATAAACCTGTTGGTGCTTATACTTCTTATTTTTAAAAAAAGCATGTTTCCTAATTTATATTGCATTTTCTTCTGTAAGGTGAAGATACAGAGGTTCTGTTAATCACAACAATATTACAGCCTCGGATTCATGAAGAAGCTAACAAAAGGGGGGACTTTTAAAAGCAAGTTATCGAATGCTACATGTACAGATTCAGGGATAAACAGACAAGGTACCTATCTTGCTTTATGTTGGATAATTTCGATAAAATTTTTGAGTACTGAGAAAATTTTAAAATTTATTTGTGTAGCATTGTAATTGAACTTAAAAAAGAGAGTCAATATGAAATGTTATAACATTTATAAATTTAGATTGTATCATACCTTTGGGTGGAAAATATTAAATATGTACTCTTCCATACATGTTTGAAGCCTGAAAGAATTAAACAAATTTAGTACATCATTTAAAACTGAATGTACACGGTGTAGTAAATATTTCGGACACTGACCTTCGCCGATCAAACACTGCACTTTCCACTGTAGATAAATGAGGTAGAAAGATTTAATTTCAATAAATCGATTATTAATTAAAATATGCATTCAAACCTTTAAAAAAATATCGTTATTTTTGTCTTTGTATTTTGACAGTGTATATATG